CAACCCCGAATACGATGATCTGAAATGCGTTTGCGGCCGAGAGAAAAGGCCCCGGAATTTCTCAGAGTATCGACGTGCCTTAGCAACGTTGGAGAAGCTTTGAGAAAATGGCTCCACCTGGGGCAAGGGAAATGGTAGGGAAGAAGGGATGGCAGAAGCTGTTGGAAATGGAGACATAGAGTGTTGTGAACTACGGGCCCTCCATTTCGTCTAGGTTCCCGACACGATCTTATGTGTATTTAAGAGGTTGGAATAGGTAATATGGTAGCGCTTCAGGCTACCTATTGGATATATGAGCGGCTGTACGGCGTGGGCGCGAGGAGGTTATTGGGGAGTTTTCTATGCCCAGACGGCGCCACACTCGTTTATGCTGTGGCTTAGGCTCTATGTCGCTTACACTTGTACTTGTAGCGCACGCCTCCCACACTTTAAGATGTAATCCGAATATGACACTTTTTTAGTCAACTTTTAATTTCTGTCAAAGGGTAGAATTTCACCTATTCATGGAAACTAAGCTAGTCACGTCACATGATATAAGGAAATGGTTAAACTGTCCTTTGCAGCTATTGATGGTGACATGAATTAAGATGATGATTGTGATTGAGATAGATTTCTATATAGTTTATAATACATGATATGCTCAGGTTCATATACCTCGTGTGACGGTCTTAAAGTGGCGTTTTATTCAAACTGAACTCAGAGCTAGATACAAATGAAAATCTTAAAGTAACGAGCAGAGACATGACTGAAAGCCTCCTATTTATTTACAAGACTATGATCTCGTTCCCTCATTTCATACCATTCTCAAAATAGATCATGACCTGTCCTCCGACAAACACCAGCATCTCCGTCTATTTTAATTCGGCTTCATTTTAATGTTAGTAATTTTAGTTATTAAAATAGTTATGATGCATGTGGCTTAGATGACTCACGACTGGTGTTCGAGTCGTCCTGTCTGCAATCTAAATTTATCATTTAAGAATAGATTTGCATGAACTGGGCCAAGGCCTATACTTGGGTCTAATGAGTCGTGGAGGGGTTCATGACATGTATGGTGTTTAATATGGTTGGAAGAGTTCAAGCCTTATTTGTTAGGCAGCAGCCTAATGATAACCAGGTATGAGCCTGTGACACCTCGAGCCAAGCAACCAGATTGTGTTCCTCCAGATCTAGATTCATCAGAATAATTACTTACTCAGTAAAATTCTCCTAGTCTCAGTTGTGTGTTTAGGATCTTGATTAGGTTTCTAGTAACTAGTCAATGATGTTTCTCATATCACTGAGACATAGTCATGGTTGATACAACAGGTACAAACGATGAATCGTGTCTGTACATGACGTTGTGATATAGTCATGATCGTTTGAACAATATCAACTCATGAATGAATCATGTCTCTACATGACACATGACCTTCCTAGCAGTACATAGATTTCATCTGTAGCAGTAGACCTCATTAGTTAACATTTACAATCCATAAACCGTGTCCCACGTTCTTTTTAAGAATTTCGTTCCATGAATATTGCGCCCATCTCATTGCGCAATATTTCCGACAGAAGCTCATCTAATTCCTAACCACAAGCAAACATTACAGTCTGCCGAAGAACTGACAAGGCGGGAGGTGATCATGTTGAGGTTCTTTCTAACTCGAGAGGAAATGTGTTTGGAAGATAGGGATGCAGCGTAGCGTACCGTAACTCAGACATTTACTGTATTTTTTTTATTTTCTTTTGTCACTTCTGGCTCCACTACCGGTCATATAGGTAGCAATGAGCTCTCAGAGCCCATCTACCCGTGTAACGTCTAAATAGATGTCGGGCTCTTCCTTTGACATTAAAGATTTCAAATTTAAGATCAAAATTAATGCTCTAGCCAGACCCAGTAGATCAGGCTTCATAGCGTCATGGTCCTCACATTCTTGTAGTGTAGAAAAATATAACTCAATGATACAAAATATCACAGATTTAGATAACTTTCACATCTCTGCAGATAAGTTAGCCACTGCCTCACAAGCATTCTCTAACCCTCGAAATAAAGAGTTCTCATTTCACAGAAGTCCTCAAAGTGTATACAACATAGACACCCACCAATTTTGAATAATTGGGATGTGGAGCAAAAGCATGAAGTAGACTTTGATGGGCGTACTAGGACTGACAGTTGAAGGGATGTTCGACTTTGGGGCGCTTGTGGGTGCCAAGACAACTGTTTCTTACTGTGATACCGACACTTTAAATTCAGGACACACGATTTTTGCTTCGATGATTGGAGGTGTGAGAAACGAGTTTGGTCATTACAACAACGGTTGGCGCAAGACAAGTTGTTGTCGTAGGAATCAATCTCTTGGTGGGTAATATCTGGTGATTCAGTTGAGACGCTGGGCACCAGACCTAGATATTGATTTTTTTTATGTTCATTCCTGCTTCCCTTGCATCGGTCATCTTAGTAGTTTTGAGTCTTTTGGGATCAACTGGCCGTGTCATGCCAAGCTAGATGCAGGGCATGTGCCTGGCACGTTGAAACAACAATTAAACTGAGAAACATTCATCCAGATACTCCCCAAGAACCCAGTTGGCCTACCTTTGGCTTGAGGCGGGTGATCCGGTGTATCCAAAATGGCAAGCTTTTCACTCGAACAAACCATGCCTTCTTTCGAAAGCTGTTTTCCAATCTTCGTTTTTGGACGTCCTGCCTCTATAAAGTGCTGCTGAAACGTCTGGTATTGCTGACTATCTAGCGGTATTTCGGACGTTTAATGTCTCTTGGTTGAGTGGAAGTGAATACGTATCTTTCTGTATGATGGCAATTATTCTTCTTGGCCTTCACTCAATCTTAGCCCAGCTCTTGGGTGACGAAACTCAACACCTGTCAAGTTGGTAATAAGCTACTTGCATATCTCTCTATCGACCCATGTGGTTGTGTGTACGTCGCCTGGACTATGCCTTTGGGCTCAGGCAGGAATCCAGACTTCTGATCCATTCAGACTCAGTGCCTGAGTCTGTTTGAATCCTAGTCTTAACGAAGAAATCCAGTATTTGGTTTGTTGGGATATTCTCTTGCATGCCCCAGTAATCTGGGTCGTTAGATAGTTCTTCACTGGTCAGGTGTCTGAGTTAATTCTGCTATGTATAGCGTGATACCCGCAGTAAATTTATTTAATTAAGCAAACTGAACACCTCTGTTCTCAGGCATTTCTTACTCCAAAGTTCTTTCTATACTCTACCATGTTAGCGGTGTCTCCTGTAAGTCTCCAACTTTCACTGTAGAGTCTGCAGAGGCGAGAACGGGTAACATGTTCCTCCTCGCTTCCCTTCTCTCTAAGGAACACGTCTATATAGTAGTTGCCACTCTCTCCTAACGCTATTCATAAACGGATAACTCGTCAATAATCAATTCCATTAGTCCTAATTTCCAGGGTAGAACATGACAGATCATTAAGTCACAAGGTCTTTAGACAGTTCTGAATTCAACGAATAAGTACTGAGAGAAATAGCTATCCATCATGGGCAATATATTAAAGATTCTCTTTCGCACCAAAAGAGGATAGGAGTGCTATACAAGGTGTGGCCTGGGTTAGAGAGGAGCCCATTGTGCTGGATTGTCTATGACTCAGGTAGTACTATAATCCGCACACATTTTCCAGGGCTCCGCGTGAATAGAACCGGTGCTGCAGCTGAAGGTTTACTCTAATATATTGTATGCTTACAGAGAAGGCTAGGATGTTGTTTCGCTCGGCAAATAAGTGTGACTTCACTTAGGTGATGGTAAAAATATATATAAAGTAACTTGACTGTCTATTCTATCCAACGAAAGCTAGTAATACATATTTGTGTCTTAGTAATCAAATCCATGCTGCTTACCTAAGCAGGTGCGCCGGTACTCCGAACTATATTAATTACATGAATATCCAGAACAATAAATTGATTAATTATAACGACAATAAGGGATCAGGGATATTTGATACTGTCTTGGCATCATTGGAAGAAGTCGACACGAAATGGACACATGTTTTTTGGATAGTAAGTCGACAAAAATTACTGCTCTGAAATAGCAGACGGATAAAAGTTTCATGGCTACATCAACGTAAATATCATGAGCTCAGAATGTAGAAAATAGGTATACAAAATTCTTAGCCAGGGCTATCCAGCTAGATATCCAAGATATTTCGGCATTTGCGATGAAATATAAGTTCTAGCTTAGTCCATCCCCCGAAGCCGACATAAGGCCGACAACTCGAAAAATTCGGACCAAAGAACTCCAATTATGACGTGGTTATCTGGTCGCCATGGAGAGTTGCTGAGAGCCAAGTCCTGGTCGATTCCACGATAAAGGCCTGACCCTTGATCAACCTCAGGGAACATAATGATCTGTATAGTCGAATACCAAATCTGAGTCACTAAAATACCGAACTTCTCTGATCCTGACAAACACCTTCTCCCCGTTACCCACATGAATGAACCAAGCTTTGGAGGAACAGGCAGACCCAGACATTAGTATAAAGCCATGTTTGTTAACGTCGTAATCCTAAAGGGTGAAGAAGGAGATGAAGTCTAGATCCATTGTGGTCATTTTGGAGAGATGAATGATGGATCGGCCGGAATGCAATTTCAGCCAAGAGCACACTTGATCATGCCAGTCATCTGCGACGCTCTTGGTAAATAGTGCCGAGCACACAAAGATCTCGAACCGCGCGTCGGAAGGATTCCTGTGGACCAATTTCAGCCAGTAGTGTATGCCACTTGGTGATCAAGCAATTTACTACAGGTTTATAGCTTCTTTGCCATGCTACACTTATCTGACTCTGGAATGGAGGACTCGATGACGGCAACGGCGACGGATGAGAAAACGCAGTGGAACATTGTATTTAATATACTCGTGCTTCCTTCAGTTTCTCGTCATCATTCACTCACTCACTTGGCTACATCCTATCTGATTCAACTTTAGATTTTCAAAACGGTGCAGATCAATCCCTCGCAATTCTCATAGACAAGCTCGCTTTGACCAAATGCGACCTCTCGCACTGCTCACTGCCATACCCGTTTTCTACTCCGTTTATGTCGCAGGGGATAATGGATATGACTGCTCTGATTCGGAGGGCAATACAAATACAACTTACGACCAAGCCCTCGTGGAAGGAAGCGTGAAAGATACGTGTCTCCCAGATAGCGAGCTGTCTGCGGCCGAACTCGCGGCAAACGTCGAGGCAAAGAAGTATCCCCAGGTCTGGGTTGATTCGAAAGATTATGGTTTCAATGGGACCGTCTTACTCTGGAAATATCAAGGAAACAGCTCTGAGGCTTTAGGTAAGGCGCCGCCAAACTTGCAGCTCTCTTTCAAGACGCAAAACCTGCCGATAGCTTCCTGACTAACGATGATGTAGAAGAACTAGACGTGCTCATTTTTACTGACAGTGCCTGCAATGTTTTGGGATTAGCGCAGAAATCAAAAGACTTTTACACGATATGTAAAAGTGCACATGAACATTATGATGAGAAAGTAATCACTAATACATTGCATAAACACGTTCGGCGCGGATTTTTCTCTAACGACAGTGATGATGATGATGATGATGACGAAGTAAATAATTTACACGGTTATCAAGGTAGTACCAGCGAGAATGCAATAACCTTGTCTCCCATACATGAAAGTAGATACGAGAATGAGAGGCGACGCAATAGGGGATGGTCTTATTTTAGAACAGTACCCAAACATCTATTACCAGATCCACCCGCTACCCTGCCGCAAGAAGATGATGATACCAGCTCATATGCTTCAACGGAATATGGAACTGCTTCACAGAGTTTTTCAACCACAAATGAAGATGACAGCTCACAGTACAATGAAGGCAGCGAAAGCCACTATGGGTCTCAATACCAAGGTGGTTCTTCCAGCTCATATCAAAGGTCAAAATCGAAGAAAAAAGGCTTCGCTTCTAGAATTTTCGGCAGTTCCCAAAAACAAAGATACCTTCCAGCCACTGCAGATTTTCCATCCACACGAAATCCCCCACCACTTGACCGTTCAAGAGAGCGGCCTTCAGGATGGGTTGTCATAACTCCAGGCCCTCCATCACGGCCACCCCCAAATAATGGCTATACGATGCGGCCCCATTGGCCAAATTCCTATGGCCCGGAAGGCACTATACACGAACCAGATGATAATTCAGGCGATCCTCCGTATATACCGGGGAATAATCAGAGCAGTGACTATGGACAAGGTTATAACCAGGGACAAGATTATAGCCAGGGACAAGATTATGCTCGAGAGGTGCAACAATATGCGGATGATTTCTTTAGAATAAATTGATGCTCGTGATAATCGTCGTCAGAATTCATTAAAGATGATCTCGAAAAATTTGGTAATAATATACTTCTATTTCTCTCATGCAATCTTTCGATGAATGAAGCACTGGCACGCTTGGACAAATCATGTGGTTAACACCATAGAATGCAAAGGGAAATTGGACGCTAAAATGTCGCGCTATAAGTATGAATAGAGCCCGGGTTTTGATTTATCTGTTGACGGCTACCCAGATCTCGCTGTGAGAGATTGTGATTATGAGGTTGTACGTGAAGTCTCGGGGACTGGACCCTAACAGCATGTGGGATAGAAGAGACAAGAAGGCGTGCATATTAAAAATATGTAGAATCTATATGTAAGAGGCGTTCATCGTAAAGTCTTTATCTACAAGAGAAGTCTTCATAATACCTTGCGCTTGCGCTTCGACTAGTCCTTCACTGTGCCTAGCTAGCTACACTCAACTTCGTCCATGTGATGTCCCGTAGCTCATACTATTGAGCGGCACAGAGATATTTTGAGAAGTGTTGGAAGTAGATTGAATTGTCTGTCCTAATCAGATCTCTCCTCACTAGCTTATATACATGCGAACTTTTATCATCTATCATTTCCGCTCGGCCTATCAGTCTTCATTGAGTTGAGCTAATTGAGTGAGAAACAGTTTCGGATGTCAATCTCCTGAAAATTACAACCTCAAGAATCTCTAGTATGAAGCGCGCGCATAAATAAAATGAACGAAGATGACTTGGTAAGCCTAATCAAAGCGCGCGCGTAAAGGAAAAGGGAATGACATATGCTGAAAATCTGCAAATAAATTCTCAATAAATACATGTATATTTAGCGCGCGCAAATGACTGGTGCTTCGACACATAAACACCTACAGTGCGGATGGCAAGACTGACACCTGTACGTGGTGTCCTCCACGAATCTGGGAGTGAAATATTCTCCCAGAGCCAAGTTTAGTCAAATTTCGCAATATCAAAGAAGTTGGCCCACGAGGCAAAATTTCAAATTACTCCACCATGTCAATCTTTCATTCCCAAAGAGTCCGATTCTCGACTAAGCTTCATCAAGTCTACAAGTACGACATAGTACATCCTCATCCCAATGACCAGACCTCTATTCGACTTTCTCTGGCCTCAGCCGGTCACCAAATACACGCCCACGCCGATATTTACACTCGACGGAGGGAGCAAAGCGTGGCCTACATATCTGGGAGACAGCTCTTTGGGATGGGCGTGAGATTTATCAGGACAAGTCCACAAAATGATGCGAAGGAAGGATACAACCTCGACGGGCGTGAAATTTCGAATGTGGCAAGGAGTTTTACAAATTGAGCTTTGTGCGTGCCAAGGCATCGGTTGGGACAGTGCAGGCGACAATATAAAAACTGCCATGGTTGGATGGTGCGGTGGTACATCGTCTTGGCCGGTCTGCCAAGTAGAGTCTGGATAGCTTGGACATATATCCCACTCGAGACAGTCGATTGCCGGTTCAAATGCGGCAAAACACAACCACATTTCTCGCGGCGCTAGTATACATAGACGATATTGGAATGCTTAAAGAAATCAAAGGTACAGAGTTTCCCTTCGGCGGGTACTTACGGAGGAGAGTCGACTGTTCGTGTGAGCAAGCAAACCTCATGTTAGTATTTCCGAGTGAATTCCAGGGTGTGAGTGCATGGATAGCCGATGGGCTCTTCAATCTTTCACACTTATCAAGTATCATAGCCATGTAGCTTCGTACAGTTATGTGATGGAAAAAATTTTGGGCTCTCGGGGCACTGAGTGGTTATGAAAAAATTGTAGCCAGCAAGTTCGAGGATTGTCAATTTCTCATACATCACTTTTGTGCCGCCCCGATATTTCTTGTGGCCACGCATTTGCTCTCCAATCAACGATGGGCCGATTCAACATCACCCCCAGGGTCCCAACGACCAGTTCCAAACATACTCGACTCCTTAGCCTGTGACAACGCACGATTCGAAAGGTTTGTTATAGATGTTGATGCTCATACAAAACCCATAGGCTGTAGAAGACCAGGGATAGGAGGTTTCGTGTTGATAACTTGATTTGGACAGTTGATGAAACACTATGTACAAATATACAGACTCGTATCCTTCTAGACGCTTTTCTATTTAGCTTAGAATCTTTTGATTTGACCACTCGCCGATCTTCTTTTGTCCCTCGAGTTTCCACAATTTTGTTTAGTGCTTGACCCTCAGGATTAACTGGCATATAATTGTCATATTCAAATTAGAAATTAACCTATAAATTAAGGAACAATTTAGGTAGGTCCTCAAGTAGTCATTCATTGTCTAGGACTCAGTAGAGACCTGAATTTAAGCCAATCAATTCCACAACTTTGCTTGGGATTAATTTCTGTATCTTATCATTATTGTAATTTGTTTGCTAGACCTGGCGGTGTAGCTTATCACAGTTAGAGAGTGTATTCTAGAAGGCAGTGGTGGCTCTTTACAGATGCGATTGCGACAAAACAATTGAGGGCTGTATGAAAGTTTGGCACTTCTATGGGTCTTCATTGTGTAGAGGTTGATTCAATTATTTGATGATAATTACTTGTTATGTCTGTCTACAGAGAATGTGCTATAATTCTACATGTGCCTGTAATCGCTTAGATTTGGCTAGTGGGCTGTCCCCTCTTTTCCTTCGCTCCCGTGTTCCATCACGTGAGACGTAATAATTGTTTACCACAAATTCCCCACAGCGTTTGATCACAAGAATCACAGCGGTCAATTCTATTGATTCCCTGCTAAACCACACTGCCTCTTTCATCTGACTTTGATTTCCGGTTAAAATTAGGTGATCAGAATGAAAGACTGCAAATCTCGCAGCTGTTCACGAACCGAAAACGTGCCAATTTCGCCTAGATATTGGTGACAATTAGATAAAGTCTTGATTTACTCGCGATGAAAGAAATTTCTATCATATCCTTTTCTTTGATATGGTGTTACAGCAAGAGAGTTGCATTCGCAATTAAAATCTGATGCAAAAAAATTAAAAACACAGAATAGCCCCTACATTTATATGCGAACTAGATGAATTCTACATAGAGATGATAATCAACTCGATACTTTCAGAGAGACTATAAGTCTAATTGATAAAATACGGGTGACCGTCAATGCCCATTATCCATTCGTGTTTTCTACCCCTTGCAGCATGATACTTGTCCAAGGTTTCCTGATCCCTATGTTGCTTCTCAGGGTAACTAAGTTTAGGATCGGGTCTTGGAGGGCCTGGCATAGACTTTTGCTCTCCCGATGAATCACCTTGGAAGCCACGTTCAGATCCACCGCTGCCAGATGATTTTGCGCCAAACATAGTTCCAACAGTACCTGTTATGGAGGGTGAGTTTTTGAGTTTTTCTCTTGTTCCACCTGAATTGGACGAATTTGGAGAGCCTTCGCTAAATATGCCTGGCCGAGGCTTTTTAGACAAGATCTCCGAGCTTGTTTTCTTGTTATTTTGTTCATTGACACCTTTGCAGATCGTATACTGATCACCGGATGTCTGTAGTAATCCCAAAATGTCGCAGGATTTGTTGGTAAAAACAAGGACATCAGCCTCTTCTGCATGATGGTTAGTTACCGGCTATCTGAGGGGTTGAGAGTTTCGAAAAAGTGATGTAAGTTTGGTGGCACCTCACCTAGAGACTCAGAGCTGTTTCCTTGGTATTTCCAGAGTAAAACGGTCTCGTTGAAGCCGTAATTTTCCGAGTCAACCCAGACCCGAGGATACTTCTTCGCCCCGACGTTTGCCGCGAGTTCGGCCGCAGACAGCTCGCTATCTGGGAGACACGTATCTTTCACGCTTCCTTCCACGAGGGCTTGGTCGTAAGTTGTATTTGTATTGCCCTCCGAATCAGAGCAGAGATACCCATGTTCCCCAGCCACGTATACCGAGAAGACGAAGGGGACGGCTGCGAGAGTTCCGAGGAATCGCATCTTGTAGCTGTGGCGTTGTTGATGTTAGTAGGTGGAGCTTGAACGGTACCTCCTCGAGCGACGAGGGATAAGATGGAAAGAATGAAAGAGAATGAGCGAATGTGTGATGATAAGAATGGAAGATAAAAGACTATTGCCTACAGTCTTGGCCTTGCTTTCTCCCTATCACTATCGCCGCTGAATCCTCCATTTCCTAACTTGGATGAGTGGAGCACGGCAAAGTGGCTTTAGAGTTACAGTAAATACCGAGTTTATCGAACGGGAATCACTCCTGATCAAGTCCGCATCACAAGTTCTCTTCCTGCTCTTAGTTAGAGGTCTTCGAGTTGACGATTATTATTGCAAGTATTATTTTATTTTATGGTCCTGTCTGAGTCTATGACTATGTAGGACATGCAGGTCCTCTCTGCCTACAGGCCAAGGATACCTCTACCGGTAGTATATCCCCTCATACGCCTCCCATACAGCTCTCCTCAAACAGTACCACCCCTCACAAGTCCTCATACGATCATACACTTTGAGAAGCCCTTTGCCCTTCATTATCTCTCCTCTCCATCCAACGAAATGATGGCAATTTGCGGGTGTTTTGTGCTAGATAATGTATTTGCAAATGTTACTGTTGAATTTGGCGCTGCCTGGCAATGAAGATTCACATTAACATGGAACGTAGTAAGATTCGAGTATTACTAGCCAGGTTCATAGCAGCCCATACATTTGAGGATCCAAAATTAACAGACCTCTTATTTAGTACGAGGCTCTGATAAATTGTAATACTTATGTAATGTTGTTCATGTAGGAGTCCGGGCGCAAGATAAGGAATTTTGTCAGACCCCTGTTAAGACGATCCTGGTTAAGGCGATATCTTTTCCGGAACGGACTTCGTTCCTATACATTTACCGATTACACGATTATTGTTCTACAACCTCTGAATACCGTCTTGACCAGAGTTTTTTTGCTAGATTGGTGCTAACAATGCCGCCAAAAAAGGGAAATGATGTGGAGCAACGACGTGCTGTGCGTTCAAATATATGGGTTACGAGTGTCGTACTAGAGACTATGAACCCAAAGTACGCCTGTAATCTTGGATTGCAGAATGCCTATGGATTTGAATTTGAATTTAAAATCTTTTACGTGATAGGAAGAACCTAACATCTATTTAGACGTGACACGGGTAGATGGGCTCTGAAAGCTCATTGCTACTTACATGACCGGCAGTGGAGCCAGAAGCGACAAAAGAAAAGAATGAAAAAAAATGAACAGTATATGTCTGAATTACGGTGCCCTGCGCCGCATCCCTATCTTCCTCACCCATCTCCTCTTGTTGGAAAATGAAGTATAATCCTATTAGTAACGATTACCTTCATTACGTAAGGGTTCCCAACGCAATCCCTATATCCACTATTTACACTCTAGTCCCATCTCCCCTGTAAGATTTGCACAAACAGGTACTAGTGTGGCTCTACTTTTATGACAAGGGAATTCAGCGTGAATAATTGCTTACCACCACTTACTGATTTTCAACCTAATTATATTGGGCATATAAATCGACCAGCACCAGGGTGCTGGAACACGAAACTGCTACACTTCCAATAGAAATCTACTTGAAGCAACAAAGGGTACACTATGTAGGCCGTTCCAATTCCCGACCAGTCCAAAAAGCTTTTCAATCTGCATGTTATAAGATCAAGCTGCCCAAAAGAGGGAGAGAAGATATTAGAGCAAATAATGGAAGAGCCGACCTTGCCTACTGGAAAGAGATTTGCGAAGAGGAGAAATCTAACGAGTTACAGAAAGAGGCGCTAAATATTGCAGCATACCTAGAATGGGCGAAATCTTGGTCTACCCCTAAGCGAAGTCGACAGCCCCAAAAACTTGCTACGGCAGATCCTGAAGCTTGGGAAGCAGCTAAATTCTATCAATGCCGACATACTGGACGTCAAAGAATAAGTTTCCAGAAAACTCCTCTTACTCTACATAAAAACCTGACAAGGGCCCAAAGTAGCTTAGCAATTCAAATTCGAAGCGAGCATATCGGGCTCAATTTGTATTTGCATAGAAGAAAGGTACCAGGAGTCTACGATCCATACTGTCCGTGTGGCTACAAATCACAAAATCCCAAGCATATGATCATGTCCTGCCCTAAGTGGTCAAGCGGTAGGGGTGAGATCTGGAGACAAGCCAAAGACCGGTCCTACGAAGCAATGATAGACAATCCTGGTGATATTAAAAGAATTACGCAATGGATTCTTAGTCACGGTTGGATAGATCAATTCCGCATGACAAATGCAGTCGAAATGCTGATAAGGGAACGAGGCAGGACTGGCACAAGGTTGGGTTCGTTAGAGGGGACGTGATTGGTACATACAGACGGCACTACAGTGTAACTGTGCTTCCTGAAGGATAAGTTTCAAAGGTACAAATTAGAAAGCTGGGGAGGTTTTTACCGAGAGGTTTCCTCCTATGTAAATATATAGATAGGTTTATAGCCACCTGCATGGGCCTATAGGGCGCCAAATCAGGACAATGAATACAAATCAAACTTAATTATATTATTACGTCGTTTTTATGGTCTTGATTGATATCTTTTTACATATAAACAAACAACCAATTCACTCTTCTCCGCTCTGCTTTAAGTGATCCTCTATCTCTTTCAATACCTCTCGGGTCAGAAACAATCTCAGCGTGGTCACCTCCCACCCTGTTCATTCTTCGGCAGACTGTAACATCTGCTTGTAGTTAAGAATTGAATGAACTTCTGCCATCCCTTATCCCCTATCATTTCCCTGGCCCCAGGTGGGGCCATTTTCTCATAGCTTCTCCAACGTAGCAAAACAGGTCGGCACTCTGAAAAATGCCAGGGTCTTTTCTCTCGGCCGCAAACGCATTTCAGATCTTCATGTTCGGGGTTGAAACGTCGATGGTAGTCGGCATAGTCCCCATGGCCTGTTCTTGCCGCAATAAGACGATGGTACGCCCATCTTGGTAAAGCTAGTTCCGGTGGTCTTTTGTAACGCATGAATAGGTCCAGATCTTTGTATCGTTTCGGTCGGTATTTCTGCCACCACTCTTCCACGAGCTCTTGGCTGCGCTGTTTAACCCACCTCCCTAATGCCGCAAAGGTTAGATCTTGATCTTCTCCACTGGGCGCAGCTGAGGTTAGTGACCGGTTATTGGAAGCTCCCAAGGCTGATTTGGCCAGCTTATCGGCCTCTTCATTGCCTTGAATCCCCACATGCCCGGGTATCCAGCGTATTTCCACACGCTTATTATGTCTCAGCGATGAAAACTTGTCCACCACTGACTGCGAGGAGTTAGATCTTCCTCTTTCGAGCGCCTGGGTGGCCGCTTGGTTTTCCAGAAGAATGCAGATCAGTGAGTCTTTTCCTACCTCTATTGCAGCCTTTAAGGCTTTCATGGCACCTACAACTTCTGCGTCCAATACCTCTGCTCCGGGAAGTGGACCGGAGCCACTTGCAACTAGCTTGCCTCCTTGGTATACTACATACCCCCGGTCTAATTTTCCGGGACCCGATGATGATCCATCTGAGAAAGCGAAGACTGTGTTAGCTGGAAGGGAAGCTAACCACCGCTTTATGCTTCCAGACCTAGTGTTATATTAACTAGGCTATATGGGAGCAGGACAATGGATACTTTTGGGGAAGTTATGCTCACAGTAGGTCTCTATAATCGCTGTCGCGTGTGTTCTCGTGATATATAAGACTTGACTCTATATTCTCGTATAAAGGAAACTTAGTTACAATGAATGGATGGAGGTTGGGACCTCCTTACATCTTGCTCCAGACTTACTGTGTTGTTCACAGCCTAGTGCCAGAACATTCCCTTGTGATATCATTTCTCTCCTTCGAGAAATGACCAGCTCATTCTCCTTCAGTCCATCCATATCTCGCTGATTCCATTATCTCTATTCTATCGAGTTCTAGTTTGGTCCATAATGTTGAAATATGATATTTCTTGGAATGCCAAGAACAACTTATTTATAAGTCCAGCTAATTTGACTATCAAAATCCCCATGCTATATCACTGTCATCAATACATCCTTCACCGAAAGCTTAATGCGCATTAGCGTTTATTTCACACTAGAATTCCAGCGGATGACTATGTCTTAAATGCAGGTTATAGTTTTCTCGTATCTATTACCGATACACATGTATTTAGCTTTATATTCCTGGCCCATATATGTGTATGTACATAGATCTACATCTACATGGATCATATCTTACGATCCATGGAGATTGATAAGTACTGGTCAAAAACCACAGTTGATAAAATATGCGAACACGCAATCTCACGCTTATCATCTCGGTTTTACTCTGAACCATACATCTAAATACAATTGTTTCCACTCGGATCTTCCTCTCACAACCTCATACAAGACTTACTGCATCGGTCTAACCGCCGACACTGATTCCGTTATAACCTCCATCTTCGCTAAAAGCTCATAACTTTAACAAACTCATCCTGCAACATTATCTCAGCCGTGAGACTACAGATACTTGGAAATATAATTCCAGACTTTAACAATACGACGCTTGTTCAGAAACAAAATGGGCAGCCAGATAAACCTGTCGCACGACTCATTTCTAGAAACGATGTTCTATACATTCATCCTCTAGATCCGTGTAGTCTCACAGAGAAACCTAATGCTGTGGCTGCTCCAGGAGTTGCACAAGTTCCGAAGACTTCAAATGCCCAACGCTGGCACAAACGTCTTGGACATACAGGTCAAAAGATTCTGAAGAAAACGGCAGACTGCTCGCTTGGACTAGAAGGTATAGATATTAGCGACCCTAGCACCTGTGAAACTTGCCATCTTAGCAAGGCGCAACGTTTTGTATCTAGAGAGCCCAGACCAACTCCAAATAAGCCACTCGATGAAGTCTTTATTGACACAGTGGGAAAAGTGACGGAATCATTCATTAAAAACCAGTATGCTGTCATCATAACAGATGCTAAGACACGAATGCGTTGGGCGCTGGCCA